ATGGGAATACAGGTATGAGCCACTGCGCCCAGACTATAACCAGTTTTGGTTTTTGTTTTTTTTTTTAATATATATATATATATATATATATATATATATATATATATACATATATATATTACTTTATATATATATATATACTTTTTTTTTTAAAAAAGATGGGGTTTCACCATGATGGCCAGGCTGGTCTTGAACTCCTGAACTCAGGTGATCCACCCACCTCGGCCTCCCAAAGTGCTAGGATTACAGGCATGAGCCACTGCGCCCGGCCTAACCTGGTTCCTTTTACTTCGTTTCTCTTACTATACAGCCATCTTTGCATAGCCTTTTTTTTTTCCTGCCTCAGGTTTATTTGTACCAATAGCACAGGGGGACCCCAGTACCATGCAGATGGCAGCCTGGGGGGGTGGGGTGGCACCAGTCCTTCTGTCCACATGTTGGCAGACAGAGATATCTACTCTGAAGTCTTTATAGGGGCTTGGGCACCTTTGGGAGCCTGAGCTGGAACTGTAGCTGGAGCTGCAGCCTGGGCCTTGGTTTGATCCTTGGCCTTGGCCTTTGGCTGTCACGGCCTGAGCCCCCTTGGCAATAGGGGCACAAGCAGTTCCCAAACTTGGGGTGGGAAATGTAGGCAAGTCAATCTAACTTGTGGCTGACACCCTTTGGGATCTTGGGCTTAACCTCCTTGGGCTTTACGAGGACCTTGGTAGCCTCAGCATGTGCACTCATGGCCTCGGCCTTGTTGGCCTGCATTTTCTTTAGGTCCTTCTTGTTGTGCTTCTTGGTAAAGATCATGTTCCTCAGGAACTTGGGGTCCACCTCCTTAAGAGATTCATATCTTTGTGATAGGGGTTTCTTGATACCATTTCTGTGCCATTTTCGGGACTGGTTGTGTGTGGTATGGTTCTTGGACTTGGCCATGTCTGCACCTAAAGCCATGGCTCCTGAAGCACCTAGAACTGGAAGAGAAAGGGGGCACATAGCCCTTTTAAAAATGCTGTCCTGACAGCCTCCTTCTTTAACACCCATTCCCAGCTATTGCTGTTCCTCCTTTTCACTCCCAGGTTCTATCTCCCTGAGTTGAACACTGATAGGGTTGTTCCTCTCTTCTCTGCTACGATTCTTCTTTGTCTGTAACTGATTCCTCATCTCCAGCAGTTTGACCTTGTGCTCTGGCCATTGTGATTGGTAAGATTTACCCATCTTCACCCTAAGCTAGGCCAATCAGATTTCTCTTTCTTGAGCGTGTAGAAGTTTGACCTCATGAATGTGAAAGTTGTAGGTTGCTGAGAGCTAAGCACCAGAAGTGGTTTGGTTAGGAGGAAGGAAGGTCCATGATTTTCTGGTCCTGAGGTTTAGGATTTTTCTGAGTGCCAACACTTCCCTGTCTTCAGGAGAGTTCTAGTAAATTTACCTTTCTTGAGTAAGTTTTCTAAAATTGGCTTATGGTATCCACAACCAAAAAACCTTAATTAACACAGTCTCCATGTGATAGAAGGTTCTTCGGAGATAAGGCCAGATTTTTTTTTTTCTTTTTTTTTTAAGAGATGGGGTTTCACCATTTTGGCCAGGCTGGTCTTGAACTCCTGACCTCGTGATCCACCCACTTGGGCCTCCCAAAGTGCTGGGATTAAAGGCGTGAGCCACCTCGCCCAGCCAGATTTTTTTTTTTTTTTTTTGAGACAGAGTCTCTCTCTGTCACCCAGGCTAAAGTGCAGTGGTGTGATCTCGGCTCACTGTACCCTCCGCCTCCTGGGTTTAAGCAAGTCTTGTGCCTCAGCCTCCAAAGTAGCTGGGATTACAGGCATGTGCCACCATACCTGGCTAATTTTTGTAGTTTTTGTAGAGACGGGGTATTGCCATGTTGGTCAGGCTGGTCTCAAACTCCTGGCCTCAAGTGGTCCACCTGCCTCAGCCTCCCAAAGTGCTCAGATTACAAGTGTAATCTGAGCCAAGGCCAAATTTTAATTAATTAATTCAGTTATTTGTTCAACAAACATTTATTGAGCATTTGCTATGTGACAGGCATATGGTAGGTGCTGGGAACCCAAAGATGAATTAGACAATCTCTTCAATTCTCCCAGCTTGCTGCCTAATTGTAAGTATAAATGTATTCAATCAATCATTCATTCACTTAATAAGTAATTCATTTATTCAATGAATAATTACCAACACTCATTGAATATTATGTAACAGGTCTTGCTACTAAATGCTTTTCTTTCTTTTTTTTGAGACAGAGTCTCACTCTGTTGCCCAGGCTGCAATGCCGTGGTGTGATCTCAGCTCACTGCAACCTCTGTCTTCTGAATTCAAGCATTTCTCTGCTTCAGCCTCCTGAGTAGCTGGGATTACAGGCACCCACCACCAAGCCTGCCTAATTTTTGTATTTTTAGTAGAGATGCGGTTTCACCATCTTGACCAGGCTGGTCTTGAATGCCTGACCTCATGATCCACCTGCCTCAGCCTCCCAAAGTGCTGGGATTACAGGTGTGAGCCACTGCACCCAACCTAAATGCTTTTCTTAATTCTCCAACTCTGTGAGGTATATCCCATTTTACAGAAGAGGGAACTGAGTTACAGAGAGGTTGGGCGGCTTTGCCTAAATCATAAGGATTCTAAGTGCTGAAACTGCTCTTCAATTATGGTATATCTGACTGCAGAGCTCTTGCTTCTAAGCATTGTGTAACCTCCCTCTCAAAGGAACTCAAAGCAATGTGACACATGCTTACACAGGTGTGTATAAAGTTCACAGAGGAGAAAGCAACTAATTTTGTGGGGAGGTTGGGGTTCAAAACAGGCTTCACAGTTGAAGTGGTTTGAGCAATCTTGATGGAAGAGAAGGGTTGCGTTTCTGGTGCCTAGCATATTACTTTGCATATGAACACTGTAAAATGATGATGAAGTGGCTTATGCATCTGGAAGGGGTTGTTTTCCAATTTCCATGGAGCCTGGGGTGTTTCCAACTGCCTACTGCAGCATCATTTTTGTGATTTAGCAATGGCATGTGAAGTAATCACATCATCTGTATCACTGATGCTCACAAAAGCCTGTAAGGTAAGTAGTACAGGTACACACTTTGTAAGATGAGTGAGGAAACCAGGGGTGAGTTCGCATGACTTGTCCAAGACTATACATGGTGAGTAAGTGGCAGAACAAGACAAGGGGCCAGTCCCGAAGGAGGGACTGGCTAACAGGATTCCTCTCATCTAGCCAGGCTCCTTTACTCCTCTTAGGCTGCAGTTTAGGTTTTGCTCTTTCCAGACTCTGCATCTGAGTTTCTGAAGGTTTCCTCAGAACACGCTCCCCAGTCATCTCAGTTGCAGCTCTCCAGGACCCATCATCCTCCAAGATTTAGCTCATTGCACATCTTCCTCACAAGCCTTCTCTAAATTCATTCAGCTCACTGCCTAAGCTTCAGGTAAATCCCTTAGCCCTGCTTCCATCCAGATTCCTGCCCTGAAAACTTTCTACATGGTCAGACTCATCACTGCCATTCAGCTTTCCTCATCAGAACTCCTGTTGCCTAATCTCTCCAGCCTTAGGTTGGTCTTTTACTGTTGTTTTCTTTATATGCATATATCTTGTTTCTCACTGAAATGTAAGCTTCATGAAGCATAGCCATATGCTTCCTTTTTAGCCTTATACATACAGACATATATTCACTTTTGGGATCAAAGAGGATGTGTGGGATGAACGATCCCAACTTCTGTTAGATTATTCAGCTCCTAGGCCAGGCGCGGTGGCTCACGCCTATAATCCCAGCACTTTGGGAGGCCGAGGTGGGTGGATCACGAGGTCAAGAGATCGAGACCATCCTGGTCAACATGGTGAAACCCCACCTCTACTAAAAAAATACAAAAATTAGCTGGGCATGGTGGCACGTGCCTGTAGTCCCAGCTACTTGGGAGGCTGAGGCAGGAGGCAGGAGAATTGCTTGAACCCAGGAGGCGGAGGTTGTGGTGAGCTGAGATCGCGCCATTGCACTCCAGCCTGGGTAACAAGAGCAAAATTCCGTCTCAAAAAAAAAAAAAAAAGAGTATTCAGCTCCTAAGTCATGCAAAACTGAAACCTTGTGTACCCCCTTTCTAAAGCTCCTGCAGGGTGGGGGAAGAATGCAGGGATTCTCATAGGTGCATTCAGCAATTACTAGTAACCAACACTTAATGAATGCTTACTAATTGCTAGGTCCTGTACAAAATACATTACATTCATTAACTTACTCAATTTTTATGACAACCATTACTATCCTCACTGAACAGATGAAGACACATAGAATTTACTCAGTAAGTGGCACAGCTAGAATTGAAAACCCAGACCGACTCTAGAGTCCGTACTCTTAACTATGACACTAAATTTTTTTTTTTTTTTTTGAGACAAAGTCTCACTCTGTCGCCCAGGCTGGAGTGCAGTGGCGCCATCTCGGCTCACCACAATCTCCACCTCCCGGGTCCAAGTGATTCTCCTCCCTTAGCCCCCTGAGTAGCTAGGACCACAGGGGCATGCCCCCATACCCGGCTAATTTTTTGTATTTTTTTAGTAGAGGTGGGGTTTCACGGTGTTAGCCAGGATGGTCTCGATCTCCTGAACTCGTTATCTGCCCGCCTCGGCTTCCCAAAGTGCTGGGATTACAGGCGTGAGCCACTGGCAGGGTGACACTAAATTCTTTATGGATAAAAGAAATTCTCTTACTGTAATGTAATTTCCTTGCTTTCTAATCCCGTGGGAAGATGGAACTAAAAGGGTGAGAAAGTAACATTTATTATACTCCTACTATGAGCCAAGTATTATAATAGGTGTATAATGCTTTAATGATAGAATTCTTGCAATAAGTCTATGAAGCAGGAAGTAATAGCTCCATTTTAAAGAATTTGGCTCTTAAAGTGGTTAAATACAGTGCTCAAGCTTTTAGCTTCCAGTTATTGGCAGAGTTGGAATTAGAGCAGGTTTACTAACTTTGAAGGAAAGACTTTAAAGGAGACTATATGGAAAATCCTGCCAAGGGCAAATGTGAAGGGCCCGTGAAAGACATCTAAATTATTACTTATAATAATTCAGAAATTGAATGTCTGGTGCATACTGAAGAATTGTGAGAGGTTGTCAAAAAATCTATAAACACTCACAGAGGAATCAGCTAATTAAATAAGGGAGCTTTTTGTCTTTGGGCTAGGATATAAACCCCAGAACTTCCTGAGAGGCAAGGGCAGAGAGGGCGCCACCTGTCCTGGAGAACCTGGAGCCCGCTCTAAAGACTTCGGCTCAGCCCCTTTTCTTTCCTCAAACTCTAATTGGCTACTTCTTCCTGGGCCCTGCCTCCTCCTCGGTCTGGACCATTAAACAGCCAAGCCCTACCCAGGACCTGGATGCGGCCTCCAATCAGGTGCCAGGCCCTCGAGTCCCTCTAAGGAAGCCCCTTCTCCACCAGCGAGGAGCCTTGCTCTCGTCCGTGATTGGCCAGGCAGCAGCATGGATCCTCCTCCTTCTCTTTCAGATTGGTCAGCGGTCCTCAGGCGCACGTCCCTCTCAGCCGGTCCCGCCGCTCTTCCTCTTGGCTGCGCTGTCTGTGGCAAGCCCGGTCCTCAGCGGCGAGGGCCCCGCCCCCTGTAAAGGCCCGCCCGGGAATTGGCGGCGGCGCTGCAGCCATTTCCGGTTTCTGGGAGGTGGGTGGGGTGCGGAGCGGGACTTCGAGCAGCCGCCGCCGCCGCTGCCGCCGACCACAGAACCTTTCTTGCTACTGGTCCTGCCAGGACGATGCGGCCGGGGCCCGGAGGCTGCTGCTGCCGCCGCCCGGTGCGGGCGAACGGCTGCGTGACCAACGGGGAAGTGCGGAACGGATACGTGAAGAGCAGCGCCTCAGCCGCAGCAGCCGCCGCCGGCCAGGTACGGGGAGCCTGGGCAGCGGGGCCGGGGTGGCCGTGCGGGCCGGCGGGGGGGAGGCCGGACGGGGTGAGGTCGCGGGGCCATCCGCGGGGTGGGTGCCGCTCGCAGGTGTGGGCGGCAGTGTCCGGGCACTGGCCTAGCCTCCCCGAGCCCGGAAACTCAAGGACGGCACGGGGGCTTCCCACCTCTCCGCGCCTGGAGGTCTTCCTCCCTTCCCCCCGGAGTTCTGCGAGATTCTGCCAGAAGTGTGTGCCGCCCTCAGGGGAGGCAATGAGAGATCCCTCGGACCCCGGTGGGAGCCACTCAAGGGCTCCCGAGGGTCCGTCCTCAACCCCCCGAGGTAGTTGCTTCCTCTTAAAGTCTTGCAGTCGTCCAAAGAGAAAACCACCCTTGGGGTCCTTAAGAGGCAAGGAAAGTTAGGTGCTGGTGTCTGATGGAGACACACCCAGTCTCTCCCAACCACATTCTGGACTACCACGTTCGTTCCCCAAGCAGGACGTTGATCGGAAGATCTGGCAGGGAATCCAGGCTGGTCCCTCGAAAGCATCACCCTCCTTACTCTGCCCGTGGTGAGACTACCCCATGCTCCAGGTTGGATTAGGTGGCCCCTTCGACCCTTTCCTGAACACGAGTGCTATCACACAAGGGGATTGTTTAGCCTGGTGGTGACTTGCGATGACTCTATACTAATTAGCCATGCTGAATCATCAACCACGTTCAGGCAGTTCTAAAATATTTTGAAAAGTTCTAAATTCGAGACAGTGCTTATTATCAACCTTACAGTGCTCTGTACCGACAGATATTCTGTTGAAATGAGTTTTTAATGATGAGCTGGTTGAAAAGATGCAAGATCGGTATTCCTGGAAGAGAGTGTTGTGTTAATTTCCAGTTGACTTTAATATGTTTAAGTTTTGTACAGATATTAAGGAACAGTTAAAAAAAAAAAAGTACTCTGTTCCCCTTTAGCAGGAGTGTGACTGTTGTAGTCTTGATAGGATGGTGGTCTTAATTTGACTTTAACGTAAATATCTGGCAGGCTCCTCCCCAGATGGTTAGTTATGATGGATAGACCTGTTACTGTTTGGTGTGAATCAGAAAATAAAGCATTTCTCCAGGTCATGTTGAGATACTGAGACTGAGAGTTGAGGGGAAAAATACGTAAAACAGACTTGACCTCCCCTGAAATTGTAAGGTGTCAAAGCAAAGTAATACGCAGATCAAAAGATTTGTTTTCACTCTTAAAGAAATAATTGTGTGAGGGAAGTGATAACAATCAGCTCATAAGCAGTGGAATAGTCTGTTGTTTTCCTGGCAATGTAAATGACTTACAAAATTGTTGTGGTATAGAATGTAACGGAAATTTAACGGATAGGAGTTAGAAATACAATGCAGGTGAACGAGTGAGGTTTTTGTTTTTGTTTTTTTTTTTTGAGATGGAGTTTCCCTCTTGTCGCCCAGGCTGGAGTGCATTGGTGCGATCTCCTTTCACTGGAACTTCCACCTCCCAGGTTCTAGTAATTTTCCTGTCTCACCCTCCTGAATACCTGGGATTACAGGCATCTGTCATCACGCCCAGCTAATTTTTGTATTTTTGGTAGAGATGGGGCTTCATGTTGGCTGGGGTGGTCTCGAACTCCTGATCTCAGGTGATCCACCTGCCTTGGCCTCCCAGAGTGCTGGGATTATAGGTACACTTGGCTGAGGTATGATTTTTTTTAAATGAAAGAGGAAGTCAAGAGAAAGGTGTTCATACTTCCCAGGTGCTTTGTGTTCATATGCTCCTTTCAGTCCCCTATGCATTATGTTCTGATTTAGTAGCAAGTCAAGGACCTCTCTCCTATAATCTCTTAACAATTTAGCATTTATAGAATGAGATTTCTTTAGAGCTGGCCAATTAATAAGATGAAGAAATATCAAGGTACTAACATGGCATTTTAAAATCTGTATGAATAACATCATAACATCTGGTTAACTTTTGGGGACATGTTTCAGTAAAAGTTTCACTCAGGCACATTGGTGGTATTTGGAAGAACGGTCTGTTGGAATGCTGTGAGGGCTGCAGTCCTTTCTAGAAAACTACACACCAGTCTTTTTAAAACAGACTTCAAATCTGGAGCTTTCTACACTCTCAGATGGAGGAATATTGTCTGAATTTTTTTTCTTTTCTTATACAAAAGGAGATCTTGGTAACTTAATGAGAGCAACGCAATATCTTAACATTTTTTGAAGGTTGTTTTTATTTTTTTAAAGTGATGTGCTTGTGCTCCAACCTCTACCTATCTTTCCCCTCTTTCTGGGGGAAATGTTGCCAACTCTGCCATCAAAATATGCATACAGCTGTGTGTCATGCTTTTACTAAAATGTGAATTTAGAGTATAACAGGGTTGAGATGTAAATTCTTTGCCTCACATTTCCCACCATGTCTTTTAATGAACAGCAGAGAGGTCAGAAAAGTCTCAGATCACTTTACACTCTCAAGAGTATGTTTCTGGCCGGGCGCAGTGGCTCACACCTGTAATCCCAGCACTTTGGGAGGCCGAGGCAGGTGGATCACGAGGTCAGGAGATCGAGACCATCCTGACCAACATAGTGAAACTCCGTCTATACTAAAAATACAAAAATTAGCTGGGCACGGTGGCAGGCGCCTGTAATCCCAGTTACTCGGGAGGCTGAGGCAGTAAAATAGCTTGAATCAGGGAGTCAGAGGTTGCATGAGCCCAAATCACGACACTGCACTCCAGCCTGGCAACAGATCAAGACTCCGTCTCAACACACACAAAAAGAATATGTTTCTGTGCTTGAAAGGATGAATGAATGTATATAGTAAAAGAACAACTCTTGGATTTGGGTTTAGAATTTGATTAGCAGATGTTGTGGTAGGAAGGAGTTATGAAACAATCAGACATTGCTGTTTAGTGATGACAGTAGACACACGGTTTTCACAATAGTTGCAGTTGAACAAAAAAAGCAGTAATTTTTCCTCTCTGCTATTCAAATAAGTGGGAGGAGCACCAGCCTTCATTTGAGGTAGTGTGGCAATTTGCCCCAGGGAAACTTTTATATTAGCATTGGAAAGAACCTTTGGGAGTTTATGTAATTCAGTCCTTTATCTCTTTGTAGTACTTTATTAAAATCAGTCTCGACAGAAAATTCTATTTTTAAAGATGTCTAGGCAGGAAGTTTTTCTCAGTAGCAAGTTGCATTATTCCATGATCTTAATTACCAGATTGCCTTCTGTGGATTTAACATTAGATTAAATAAATGCCATGTTTTGGTTGCACCTAAAATACAGTAGTTTATTTATATGTTTGTTTTTAAAACTCTATGTTAACAGCTCGTTTTAAAAGAGCTTCCAGGCCAGGCTCGGTGGCTTACACCTGTAATCCCAGCACTTTGGGAGGCCAAGGCAGGCGGATCACGAGATTAAGAGATTGAGACCATCCTGGCCAACATGGTGAAACCCCGTCTCTACTAAAAATACAAAAATTAGCTGGGCATGGTGGCACGCGCCTGTAGTCTCAGCTACTTGGGAGGCTGAGGCAGAAGAATTGCTTGAACCCGGGAGGCAGAGGTTGCAGTGAGCCGAGATCGTACCACTGCACTCCAGCCTGGTGCCTGGCAACAGAGCGAGACTCTGTCTAATAAATAAATAAATAAACAAACAAACAAACAAATAAATAAATAAAAGAGCTTCCATTTCTTCATAGAACTTCTGAGATTTAGGTTTGCCTTTTACTATCCTTAATTAGTTAATAAGTATGAAAGAAAAAAAATTACCTACCTTTACGACAGTTTTGACCCTAACTTTTTTCCCTTTGAGTGTATTTTAATGAGATATTGGAAGGATCAGAGCTCTCTGGCTGTCAGAATAAAAAATTCTATCTCAAGGAACTGGGGCAAAAATTGTGTTCTTATGTTAAATAATAAGACAAGCCAAAGTAGAAAGAACAAAGCATTAGTCTTGCTATTTAGGTGAAGGCAAATAAATAACTAATGAAAGCTGGTTTACTAATAGCTACTAGCTTTTGTTTCCACTGAGCGGAAACAGTAACTGGGGATTTCATGTGATAGTTAAGGAAAAGGAGAAGATGGTTATGAGGGAGAAACAGTAGAAATAGTTAGAATGGTCATGTACTTGTTTACGTTTAGCAGGGCCTGATAAGATACCTCAAGGCTTTCAGAAATAAGGTAGTTACAACTTGTAGGACAAGATTTTTGTTTTCACTGTTTTTGCTCTAAGGGGAAGCATATCTTGCGTCTGAAGAATTCCGGAGTTATATGAGGTACTCAGGAATGTCCTTTAACAGGAATTCTTGGGAAATGTGTCAACAACTATGTTCTCAAGATAGTGTTTTAGAACTAGGATGTTCAGAGAAGTCAGACTTGCCCACTGTTTAGGGTTTGCCCAGGTGCCATGGAAACTTGCACTGCTTTGAGCAAGACAGTTAATTGCTTGATTCAGTTAGATTCAATTTTTGAAAGAAAGAAGCAGTGTTTATTGGTAGAATAGGCAATTCAGAGGATGGGTAGAGGCAGTGTTTGCATTCTGAGTGGGTGTGCCATACTTGATTAAATAAATGGTTTGTGGACTCAAAGTCAGTTCCCTTCTGAGTAATTTCTAAGAAGCTTCTGTAATATAATTTGCAATTCGTGGCCGATTAAAAAAGTAAGCCCTTTGCTCTTGACCCATTTACTGTTAGAAAATTTATCTTGTTTGTCTTTAAAACTACTTTTCATTACAAAGCTTGAGGCAGCTATTTTTCCTTTTTTTTAAAAAAAAAAATAATTTTACCTCTGATTATAGAAATAATACATGTGTAATGTGGGATCTTAAAGCATTGGGATAATCCCTGTGTTGGGGTTTGTTTTTTAATGTGGTCTATTGTAAATCAGTCTGCTACTTTAGCTGGGTCCACAGGTGTGCACCACTAGAGTGGGATAAATTTTTTTTTTTTTTTGTAGAGATGGGTCTTGCTGTGTTCCCCAGGCTAGTCGATTTT